GAAAGAGGGAGAAGCAGGCTTCCCACGGAGCAGAGCAGGGAGCCTGATGCGGACCAGGGAGCTGGGAGCCTGATGCGGGGCTTGATCCCAGGACCCTGGGATGATCTGAGCCAAAGGCAGACACTTAACGACTGAGCCACCCAGGTGCCCCGGGAGAACATGAATTTTAAAGCAGAGAAATCATATCATTGAATTAATTTCATTGATATTAGATTTTATTTTACATACTTTCCCAGAATTGATTGTTGAGAAAACAACCATGTTGGCAGGGGGAGAATGGAAGAAAAGACAAAAAAAAAAAAAGACTTTCTAAGCTGAGTAGCCTTGGGTAACAGTTATACTAAATAGAATCCATCGAATGCCTGCAAAGTGCTGTGCTTGCATTATCTCATTTAGTTTTCACAGCAACAAATAGTAAGGGAAGTGCTCTATTATTATCCTCATTTTGCAGACAGTGGAGATTAAGGAGGTAAAATGGTGGCTCAAGGTCACACTGGCTAGTGCTGGAACCAGGTTTTAAAGTCTTTGATTTCAGAATTTTCACTAAGTCACTCAACTGTATAGATTATTTTATATCCCTGGGCCTCATTTTACTCATCTGTACCATGGAAAGATCATTCTTGGGAGAATTTAGTGCATAACCAATGGGAAGGGACCGCTACAGTGTTTGATGCATAGTAATTATGCAAGGGTAATAACTGGATATTGTTATTTGCTTTAGAACATCTCTAAATGTAAGTTAGAACATTAATCTGAAACTGACTTTGGGGAGGAATGAAGAGAAGACTACTGTGGCAGTCCTATCACTATGAAACTAGCTGGCTTCATACTGGAAAGATAGAATGTTGCTCTCTGTGGCTCTGAATTTAATATAACTGTGTGAAGTCCCTTCTGAACACTCTGTTCAGGTTAATATTATTTAGTTTCTATTACTCTTAATTCTATTTGCACTGGCATAAGCTGTAGTTTTTGATATCAAATGAGGAGTTAATGGGACACATAAATTTTCCTGTGGGACAGGGGTTTCTGTTGCATTGCAATTATCTGTTTTTTCTGACTCTGTTCTCCTGTGGACTACAGAAATTCAAGGGTTCAGTCAAATCTTTATCATCCATTTATCTCCAGAGTCTTTTAAGTGCTTGGCTCATGGTAGGTGCTTAATAAATGAGCGTTACTGAGGGAAGAAATAACTGAATCAAAGAAAGGCAAAACAGTCTTAACACAGACATCACATTTTGGGATTGCTTTTCAAATCTGAGTTCCTCATGCCTATGACATCACCATTACCAGATTCTCTGAAGGCTCTATGAAATATTTATACTCATTAAAATTAGATGCTACACCGACTAGGTGAAAATCAGTTACTCAAGTGATTGGGGATTAATACGTCACCTAATTGATATCATAACATTGCAACAGTAAAAATAACCACGTACCACCTTCCTTCCTTCAAGCCCTGGAGGGGAACTATAGATCTATTTCATTTGATTAGGGAGCACTTTTCCAAAGAGAGACCTGGAGGCTCAGAATGTCTGTGCCTCTCCTTCATGGGGTACAACTCGAGCACTTCAGAACGCAGACTCCAATGAGCACTCCAATAGACTGGCCTGGCTGAGACAGGAGATAGTAACTTTCACTGTTGAGGTTTTAGCCATCTCTGAGGTGGACCATCTCAGTGTGAACTCATACGAGAATTCCCCGTTCTTGGAGCACCTCCCTGTTTCAAACTCTCTTTTACTTCTCCTGCAATCAGGAGGTCTCTGCTCTGAAACACACTTAGACTGTCCACTGTGGAAATATGAAAAGATGACAAGTTATGCTTGATTCTGACAGAAGGGGAAAAATTCACATAAAAGGAAAACAACAACATGATATTTCAGGAAGCTAGAGTGTTAGGGATACATATAATGTTCTTATTCCAAATGTGGGGGTGGAGGCAAAAGGGAGAAGTGAGGGAGTGTCTCTAAGGCCCTGTCATTATTTCAGGGAAGATGACAGTGTTCAGCTCTAGGGCTGCATGCACCGGAAAACTCTCTCTCCCTGCCAGGTAACTTGGCTCTGGAAGAATCACCCCAGGCATGAATTCTCCAGGTCCTGTCCTTTGCATAAGTTTCAGCATAGAAAACATAGGCAAATGAGATGCAGGGCAACACTCCAGGGTTTTTGCCATTGTTTGAGCTTCCCTTAGCCCCTCCCTGGGACGGGTTGTTTGGTTAAGGCTACAGAACCAGCCCAGATGTTTGCAAAGTAAATATGCTTGACTCTGACTCTGGGAAGCAACTGGTGGGGCGGGGAAGAGTGGGATCCAATAAGAAAGAGGGCCTCAACAGCTGATGCTAAAGTATCTTTAAAAGTCCATTAGTGATTCTTTCCCCAGCCCTTCTATTCAGTTCCAGAGGAAGCACACTGGGATTAACTACTGTAACCTCTTATTTAGAAATGGTCTACATTGCCTTTGTCTCCTCTCTGATACCTTTTCTCTTAATATTCATTTTCAACTTATTTCTCCCAGATAAATGTCATTGTGTGTGTATGTGTGTGTATTTATATAAACAAATATGAAGTTGGAAAAAAAGATTTGACAGTTTTAGACATTTTGGCCTCTCCTTTATGTGTCTCTAGGCATTTTCTCCTCCCTAATGGAAAGCTCTCTTAGAACACTGAAGGACTCACTTTCCCTCCCGAGTACTTTCACTCTCTTCTATCAGGTTTTATTTAATGCTAAAGAAATGGGAAGGAAGAAAAAGTAGGAAGGGAAGATCATTTGTTCCCAATGAATTATGCTTATCCATGGGGCTGAGGTGGTCATTCCAACAGAACTATCCTTACTAGCGCATGCAATAGTCCCCTGGGCTTACCTGGATATATAAATGTAATAAGCCTTGTCATTACCTTGGCTATAACCAAACAAGTGAGGAAACAAAAGCTAACTATTATCTTGCTGTTGTAGAGAAACTTGGACTATTCCCAGTGTAGTTAACATTGAATTGCTGTCTCTATGGATCTGGACCTGACCCAAAGAATATTGGTCTGGTTGACCTGGAGTCCCCTTATACCTTTGTGTCCTACTGTCTCCTGTCCATCTCCTCACCCATATTCAATCACGACTGCCTTGAGCAAATCTAATCGTTGGGCTGATTGGATCTAAACACTACCAAGAACAATGCATGGCCCAATGGAGACCTAATGTTTACCACGAATAGTTCCATGTCATCTCCTAGATGAATGGATTATTCCACAATATCAGTTTATGGATATAAATTGGAACGACCTAGGAAACTTGTTACAGTACAAATTTTGTCTCAGTACGTTTGATAGGCAGCCACCTCCTCTAGGACTGGGAGGTCCAGTCCTAGACAATTGCTTCAAATCAGGAGTCACTCTGGACAGAGCCCCTGTATTCATTTGAGACAGTCATTTTCACCTCATCCAGCCAACTCCAGTGCTGTTTGACTGATTTTCAAGGACAGGAATTATGGCACTTTGTCATATGTGAATGGAAGGAAACCAGTAGGCCCAATAGTGGTCTGTTGTGTTACTCCCACAAAATGATCCATTGAGGCTTATCTTCTGGACACATTGAGATCCAAAGATGGCTGTATAAAGGGATCATGGACAGAAGGACATCAGATACACTAATGTGCACACACATATATATGCCTACACAGGTACACACACTCTCATTGCCTTGTTCCTGGGAGCCATGGACAAAGCTGGCCAAGCTCTCGGCCAGGGCTGCTCTAAATGATTGGCCAGACTATATGCTACACAGTTCCGGGCACCATTTTCACAGACAGCAACATGAATTCCACTGCCCCCCTCCAGAAATTGTGCCATGCGGTGGTCCTTGGAAAAAGTTAGACATTATTTTGAAATCCAAGAGGAGCCTACTACAGAGGAAGCAAATACAATGGTTGGGGTGAAAGTTCAACAGGGCTCCACAGGATTATCTTCTTGCTGTGCAGATGGATACCAAGTTCTGCTCTCAGTACACGCACACATACATGTACACACTGTACTTCCTGCACCTCCCCTTTTCTTTCACCAGGCTGACCTGCAGCAGCTTCCCTTCCACACCTTTGTACCACCGATGGATGGGGAAATGCCACAACAAAGTAGAAGTGGAGAGTTAGTTCATGGTGAGTGAGTCTCCCGCTCAAGGCTCCTCCGACATTCTGAAACTGTTTAATGCCATTCTTGACAGTACTTGTCTCCAGAGCCCTTTTCTTGAAATGCGGTCCCATGCAATAAAGCACGTTCATTTCATGCAACATGAAGTTGATGCTTATAGTTCTAAATAACCCAGTTGACTGGGCATAGTTCAGTTGGGAGTGCCTGGTAGGAAAGAACATGCATAGCACAGCGACAGGGGGTGTTGGCCACTAGACACAGAGAAAGAAAGGAGCTGCAAAGCTATGGTAGCTAGAGGAGGACTAGCTTTCCGGATTTCAGTTCATGAAAAGCCTCTTGCCTTGACAGCTCACTAGTTTGGCATGGCATTTGACCTTGGCTGTAAGATGATGTTACATTGAAAGGAAGTCACATTAATTCCCAGGTTTGTTTGGGGTCAGGGCTGGAATCTTCCCTCATTGCAGTCCTTCCCTCAGAACCAGTCCTAGGCTTTTGCATTTGTTTTGACAACTGATTGGACAGTCCCAAAACGTGAATTTCCTCCAATCTCTTCCACTTTGCAAACTCCAGAAGCATTTGACCAGTAAGTTAAACTCCATGGGAGAACTGAATGTGAGCTAAGGCTTCAGACATGCAAAGCACAGGACCCTGGGAAACAGCAGCATCTGGGACAGGAGGCTCCCATCACTTCACATGGGGATGGCATGGGTTTTGCAAATCAAACACACACAGAAAACCAGTGGTGGCCCCGGTTGGACACACTGCATGGGGGACACAGTGGAGTGAGGACCTAGACCAGGGAGCCGCCTGTTCCTCTAGCTTGCGGACATTGAGTTCACACCACCTCAGGCCACTCACGGTTTGCTTACCTGCTCATTGTTGCTCTCCCACCATTCCCCACACTCCCTTTGGGGGTGAAACACTCTATTTCCGACTTGTGCTGGGCCAGTCTCCTGTCTTTGTACCTGGTAAGCATGAACAAGGACAGGAGCAAACAGAAAGATATGATTGTGTGCTTAACTGGCCAGGCTGAGGAAGAGCGGTGGCTGCAGAGGGTGGTCCCATGGTAAAGCAGGCTTCTGCTCTTCCCTGCAGCGGCTGACCTGTAATATGTATTAGATGCTTGTGATGGCATATGGATCACGTTGGGCATGATTTTGTTACTGCTTTTTAAACCACACATGATCTACACTTCTACATGGCCTATTACTCTATGCTTTCATCACATTTAATAGTCAATGGTAAAAGGAAGGCAATTCCTAGTCTCTAAGCAAAAGATTAATATTAATAAATTAGAATTCATTTAGTGTTTACCATGCACCAGAGATGGTGCTAGGATTTTACCTAAATTTAATCCTGGCAACAACCTGTGGCAGAGGCTCTGTTATGATTATATCCATTTTACTGAAGAGAAGAAACCTAAAATTGTAAGAATTAAGTAGATTGATCAAGGATTTTGAACACAGGGAGTCTCAGTTTAGAACCCACACTTTTAGTCATTGTAATGTGTTGCCTTCTATTGTGTTTTTTTTTTTTTCAAATTGTTCTTTTCATTAACAAAGCTTTGTTGAGTGGCATTATGTCTGAGCATTATATCAGAGCCTCGTGATGCCAAAAGAGAAGAGATGCTTCTTGGATGTAAGATGCTCATATAACCATTAAGCTGAAATTGAACAGTCCGTATTGGGCTGCCTGCATTGTGGTGGATAGCTCAAACAGCTTTTGTATCAGAACTGGCAATTCACCACATCTAGAAGGTACTAGATGTTTCATCTAAAATAAGTTGTAAGGTTTCCAACATTAATCTGCTACATGGACAGTTTTCAGAACCAACATGCTTTCATAGAAATAGTCTTTTTTTATCCATCAATTTAAGCCTGTAGGTAACTAAAGAGGGTACAGTTATGCTCATTTGCCAGATGAGGACACTGAGACTTTTTAACTGACTTGACCAACATCACAAGCCTCACTGGTAAAGAATAACTGTTAGTAGAGCTGGCAAGGGCCCAAGACTTAAGGTTTATTGCCTTTTTCCTTTCTAAAACTGGAGCCTGATATGATGCCACTTCATCCATGCCCCTGGTGTTCAACAGGCAGTGATAAAGTGACTTGGTATCAGAAGACATGTTTACCCTTGGTATAGTCATCTTATCCCTAAATTTCTTTTCTTGCTGTCTCAAAATTAATATGAAATAAAACAAAATGCAATAAAAGCAAAGTCATTATTAGTCCTGGATAGAGGCCTTTCTCTTAATTTTCTTTTCTTTTAAGATGTTAAAAGTATTTAGTATTTGAATAAAAATGGCTCATTAAATCAAGCCAAGTGGATGGAATGGATTACCTTATTCAACAGACTTTAGTTGGGCATCCATTTAATTCTAGACAATGCACTTTGGCCTGGAGATATAGAGATAAATAATCTATAGGTCCTGCTTCACAGAGTTCACAGTGTAGTAGAGAAGGAGGGGAAGAAGGCTCATGTTGTTTATCAGTTTCAGCCAATGATCAAGAGAGAGTCTTCTGGAGATTTCTTTCTTTCTTTCTTTTTTTAAAGATTTTATTTATTTATTTGACAGAGAGAGATAGGGAGAGCAGGAACACAAGCAGGGGGAGTGGGAGAGGGAGAAGCAGGCTTCCCGCTGAGCAGGGAGCCCGATGCGGGACTCGATCCCAGGACCCTGGGATCATGACCTGAGCCGAAGGCAGACGCTTAACGACTGAGCCACCCAGGCGCCCTCTTCTGGAGATTTCTAAGAACAGTTTCTTTTTTTTTTTTACTCTTGGCAAACAAAACACTGGAAATCATGGTCTCTTTTTGCTATGGACAATTGTCTGGTATGGTACTTAGCAATGCTACACGCATGTTGTAGGCATGAGAGAAGGTAAGCCAACATTCTAAAAAATGGTGGCACAGAAGATTAGAAGAATGTAGGTCCTAGACAATATCTCTGAGCAATGGAATTAGCCTGTTTCATTTCAGAACTTCTTTTTATGTGAGTCTTATCATGTCAGCCACTTTGAATTAGGTTTTAGATTCTCTGATGCCAAAATCCTCCTAGCTTTTACTTTGCTTTTGTTACTTTCTCTACCACAGCCGAGTCTGAGAATTTCTAAGGTTGTTTATAGCATTAGGTTTGGATATTTATAAGTTCTCCTAAAGAAGCAAGTTACTGGGACACCTGGGTGGCTCAGTTGGTTGAACGTCTGCCTTTGGCTTGCGTCGTGATCCCAGAGTCCTGGGATTGAGCCCCGCATCCGGCTCCCTACTCAGCGGGGAGTCTGCTTCTCCCTCTCCCTCTGCCTGCTGCTCTGCCTACTTATGCTCTCTATCTCTGTGTCAAATAAATAAATAAAGTCTCTCTAAAAAAAAAGCAAGTTACTAACAAATGCTCTAGTCTTACCTAATCATTTGTCTTCTTTTTAAATATTGTTCCCTTTTATACATACCATTGTATATAAAAAAGTATAAGAATCTTCAGAGTTAGATTTTGTATAGGAAGAAAAAGAGGGAGACAGACTGGGTAGAACAAAGGATTATTTTCTCAATAACCCACATTTAGAGAATACCTACACATGCTGAGTACCCAAACTTACTGATTTAATCACTGCAACAGCCCTACACGTTAGGTACTACTGATTTCCCTATTGTACAAATGAGGAAGAGCCAGGATGCAGGGAGATGAAGCAATTTACCCAAGGTTACCCGATTGGTTAACTCTGATGCATATTGTTTCTCGCTAAAATCACCGGGCAATTAAAATGTAAAGAATCAGCTATATTGGCCCAGGAATTCTATTTATAGGAATTTATGCTAAGGAAATAATTCAACAGAAGCTCAGAGGCTTCTGCACAAAGATTTTTTTCCTTTCAGTGTAGTAGAAAAATAGCAGAAACTAAACAAAACAAGAACAAAGCACTGGAGAATGGTTTAATAAATTATAGCGTAGCAATATTATGGAAATGTGTTAAATTTTGTATTGAGTAAAGTCTTTCATTTAGCTTCCAGAAAATTCCCCAAGGATGTATTTTAATCCCACTTACATAACCATGATACAAACACCACTGTTAATTTACTGGAAGCCATGCTAATTGTAGTCCTAACCCGTGTAATATGGTGATTTATAAGAAAAATATATATTTCGTTATTCAGATGACCAAATATAAGTAATACAGATGACCAAATATATATGAGAATATATATATATTTCTTTGATATATTTGATCTTCTACTGTGCCAGGCTCAAGGTTCCCCAAACCCTTGGAATTTCCTAAGCGTTGAGTGTCATAAAGATGCCTTTTGTTATGTTAATAAGCTGAATCCTAAAAGCACTTAAGGATGGGGGCTAGTTGCCAGTGGATTAGAGGGCTGGAACTTCCAGGCCTACTCCCTTGCTCTGGGGGGCGGGGGGGGGGCGGTGAGGGGAGGTAGCCTGGAGACTGAGTTCAACCACCAGCGGTTGATGATGTAATCAATCATGCCTTTGTAATAACACCTCCATAAAACTCCAAAAGGATGGGTTTGGAACGTTTCTGGGTTGCTGTACACATGGAGATGCTGGGAGGGTGGCTCGCCCCAAAAGGGCACAGAAGCTCCACATACCTGCCCTATGCATCTCTTCCATCTGGCTGTTCCTGAGTTATGTCCTACAAAAAGCCTGTGCTCTGGTAAGTGAAATGTTGCTCTGAGTTCTGTGGGCCATTCGAGGAAATTACTCAAACCTGAGGAGGGGGTCATGAGAATCTCTGGCTTATAGCCAGCTGGTCAGAAATACAGGTAATAACCTGACTTGCAACCGTCTCAGAAGTCCAAAGAGGGGAATCGTTGGACTCTCCAATCTACAGGACTCTCCAATCTACAGCTGGTCGGTCAGAAGCCCAGGTGATAGCCTGGGCTTGTGATTGGCATCAGAAGGGGTCGTGGAGGGGGGACAATCTTGTAGTACTGAACCCTTAACCTGTGGCTTCTCCAGGTTGAAAGTGCCAGAATTGACTTGAATTATAGGATACCCAACTTCAAGAGAATTGCTTGTTGGTACGGGAATTGCCCACACCCAACACACACACACACACACACACACACACACACGCACTGGAATTGAGTCCAGGAAACCAAAGTAACCAGTTACTCTGGGTTTAGTGCTGCATTTTCCAACTGATTAACTAATGGGCATTAACAAGTCAGAACACTGATGAGTACTTCAATAAAGCTTTTGGTCACATGTTTGCAGCATTGGCCTCGGTCTGCATGGATTTGCCAAAGATTTTCCTCAATCATCTTTCCTGTCACTAGACTAAGAAAGTGTCAAGAAAAACAAAATAAAGAATACCAATCTGTTTCCCTATGTGCTCATCCCTCACCTCATCCAGTTACAGACCCGTGTAAAGGTGGTCCTGTCTCTCTGATGATTTTGGATTTCTCTTCCAGTTGCCATCATGTCTGAGCTTGGAGCCAGATTTATTTTCCTAGTTTTCCCTTTTCCTTCCTGGCTTTGGACAGAATGTTTCTGCCTTTAGTTTTCAGTCACTGTTTCCCTTTCCCTCTGTCCCAGTATGGGCCTTCCTAACAGCTCCCCTCCATCCTAGTATGGACTTTCATAACAGCTTTGGAAACATCCAGCTCTGTTCCCATGCTGGCTCCTCAAACACCAGCCTAGCCTCAGCTTTTGGACTCCAGACACAGTTCAGATCAGACACCTACGCTAGGGTAGTATCCTTACCAATCATCTAAAAACACAGTTTCTGATTTTAAAATGTATGAGGCAGAGTGCAACCCACTGCATTTTATTTCCCAGATATATTGCCACATCACCTTTAGGATTATCCTAATTTTGGATGCTGACAATGATAAACTAAGGAGAGAAACTATGATATACATTTGAATAGCGTTTCCAATATCTTAGACAACGTTTTCTGTACCATTTGATTCTCTCAACAAACAAAGTAATTATTATCCTCATCCTTCAGG